CTAAGCATTTGTCAGTACAACATACTATTCCTATTTCACTTTACTTAGTTTTTTCAAGGCAGTCGGTTTGCATGCTTTTTTTAAGTAAGCCCAACTAATTAGATGTTACAGTGTACTTCATCGTTCAAAAGAAGGATGAAGGGTTGCGTCCCATTTTCAAAGTAATTAAAGGGGTCACTGGATGCGACATGCACTTTTACAAGCTATTTGAACTGAAATATGTGTTGGCAGTGTGTGTACACAACCACCCTATAATGATAACAATCCACCCAGTGTTTTTTTTTTAAATCTCGTTAAATCATTTCCCCTTTCTCAAATCGAGCCGATCGTGCCCTCAGGAGATCGGTCTGCCAACCCTGCCACCCACGGTGCTTCAGGGTGCAGTGGTCTCCGGCGAGCGCTTCTCTGTCTCCGCCCGGAAACGTAGCGGTACTGGGAGGCTCGCTACCTCTTCGGAGGTCTCTAGAGCAGCTAGATCGGCCGTTCCCTACCGGTCCGCCGCTTCAGGGCACCAAGCTAGCAGCTCTTAGTACAACAGAGTTCAGTCTCGAGAGACTGATTCCCTTAGTAGACTATTTGGCAACGTGGAAACTTCTGCCAAATGTGTCTCACTCAATGGGTCCTGCACACTGTAGAAAGAGGCTACCGAATCCAGTAAAACGGCTTTCCTCCGCCTCATTTCAATGGGGTCATCCTCACTCTGGTGTGTCCTGAGCAGACTCTGGTAATGGAACAAGGAGTAAACACTCTCTTGAGGAAGGAGGCCATCGAGGTGGTCCCTCCCTTCACGAGAAAGAATCCGGGATCTACAGCCGGTACTTCATAGTTCCAAAGAAGGATGGGGGATTGCGTCCGAGTTTAGATTTGCGTCAGTTGAACCACTCAGTCATGCGACTGAAGTTCAAGACGCTCACTATCAAACAAGTCGTGTCTCAGATCAGGTCCGAGGACTGGTTTGTCACGATAGATCTAAAAGACGCATATACTTCCATGTCTCCAATCCTTCCCAACACAGGAAGTTCCTGGGGTTTGCTTTTGGGGGCGAAGTTTACCAATATCTGGTTCTTCTATTCGGCCTTGCACTCTCACCTCGAACTTTCACGAAGTGAAAACGATCTTCCCACCCCTATCCGGAATGCTGAATCCCTGACAATTAAGCGTCTGCTAAATGACTAAATGTAAATGTAAATGTAATGTGTGGATGCTGCTCTGGCTCCACTGCGACTGAAGGGCATCTGCATACTCAATTATATCGACGATTGGTTGATATTAGCTCAATCGGAGCAGATGGCGGTTCATGTCATTCTCACCCACATGAAAGAGCTGGGGTTAAGACTAAACACCAAGAATAGTGTACTTTCTCCATTACAGAGAACCACTTATCTGGGCGTGGTGTGGGATTCGACCACGATGCAGGCACAGCTGTCTCCTGCTCGGATCGAGTCAATCCTCACTTCAGTCATGAGAGTCAGAGAAGGCCGGTCACTCACTGTCAAGCAGTTCCAAAAACTGCTGGGTCTGATGGCAGCTGCGTCTAACGTGATACCTTTTGGCCTGCTGTACATGAGACCCCTACAGTGGTGGCTCAAGACCAAGGGGTTCTCCCTGAGGGGAAACCCGCTTAGCATGCTCAAGGTCATGCGGAGGTGCCTTAGACATGTGGAGGAAACCTTGGTTCTTGACTCAGGGCTTGGTGCTGGGAGCTCCTTGTCGCCGCTTTAATGCTAGCGACGGACGCGCCCCTCACCGGTTAAGGAGCGGTCATGAGTGGCTGCTCGGCCCGCGCGGTCTGTGGAGCGGCCGCCATCTCACGTGGCAACTGCCTGGAGATCCTGGCCGTGTTTCTAGCAAAGTTGAAACACGTTCTCCCGGACCTTAAAGGTCGCCATGTGTCGGTGTCCACCTGCGACACAGCGGTGGTCTCTTATATCAACCACCAGGGAGGTCTGCGTTCGCGCCCCTTTTACAGGCAGGCGCACCAGATCCTTGTGTGGTCCCTGGGCGAACTACTCTCGCTGAGAGCAGTTCACATTCCTGGGCTTCTTATTATGGGAGCAGACATTCTGTCAAGGCAGGGGCCGAGGCCCGGGGTACGGAGAGTTTTGGCCAGGCTCAGGTGGACCTGATCGCGACTCGAGAGACATCGCACTGTCCCCTCTGGTTCTCTCTGACTCATCCAGCTCCACTGGGGCT